AGAGGGAATATAGTCAATAATCCTATAAAATAAAAGCTGAATATGCAAATTGACCAAACAGTGAAACCACTGGTGGAAAGACCAACTGCTATGATGCACAGTGACCACCAGGGGGCAGACGCTCAATGCAGGAGCTGCCCCAGCCACAGGCCCCAGGCCAGCCAAGGCAGGTGCCAGTGAGAGCCCCCCCACCCCCATGCAATCACCCCACAGTCACCCCACAAATTGGTCCTGATCATTGGCCGGGCCTAGTGTACCATTTTCATGCACTGGGCCTCTAATATTATAATAACTATGAATGGTGCCAGTTGGGTACTGGAAATATTAAAGGGAACATTTTATAGAGCATAGGATTTTTTTACCTAATAAGCTGTCCATCTAAAACTAATATTCAAAATAATATTGAATGTAAATTACAAAAATTACAAAAATGAAACTTAATAAACATCCTATCTAATAAAAGGGTAATATGCAAATTAACTGCCACAGTGACACAAAGATGGTGGCTCCCATAGCCACAAGAAGGCGGCATCCAGTCTTCTCAGCCCTGCCAAAGTCCTCCAGTCATGGGGGGAGGGGTAGCCACAGAGTGGGCATCATGAGTGGCCTAACCGAATATTTGCTTCATCATCACGGATGGGCCCCCGGGCCATGGAGAGCCTCTGGGCAGTGGGTGCAGAGTGGCCAGGCCCCGCAGAGAGCTACTGGTGCATGGATTTGTGTGCAGGGCTACTGGTTATTTATGAAAGCAAATGGAAATGCAGATTTGGCTTAAAGGTTGCAGTTTTCCAGAACCTTCCCTAGATAATTATTTTTCTCCCATTTTTAGAAATGCAGAGATATCCTCTATTTTTAGAAAGCCTAGGAATATACCAAAAGCTATATACTGAGTGGCCAGATTATTATGATCTCTGAACGCATAATAATCTGGCCACTCAGTGTATATATAATATACATATATTAGAGGCCCAGTGAATGAATACATGCATGGGTGGGATCCAGCCATCCTGGCCATAGGGAGTGGACATGGGCAGTTGGCTGGCCTGCCTGCTGGTCGAATTCTTGGTTGAAGGGACAATTTGGAAATTAGCCTTTTATTATATAGGATATACACTGAATGGCCAGATTATGCATTCAGAGATCATAATAATCTGCCACTCAGTGTATATTATCCAGAACGCAGTTGCCCTGTTTGTTATTAGCTTTCAGAATATTGAGACAGCAACATTGCTGGAAGCTAGGGTCTTATAGTTGATATCAAACATCTCCTGTGGGAGACAAGTGTTAAAAGTAAAAATCTTCAGCCAGGGTTATTATGCCCCAGAGACTAAATACCCCATTTTAAAATACAAGTACTGCATCCCTTGCCAGCCTGGTTACCCCGAACTGTCACCCCTACAGGCCTTGGGGCCCCCATCTGTTCTCCCCTGCAGGCCTGATCACCCCCCAACTGCCCTCCCTTGCTGACCTGGCCACTCCTAACTGCCCTCCCTTGCTAGCCTGGTCACCCCTAACTACCTTAGGGGTAGTTAGTGTTAGGGATACAAGTGTTAAAAGTAAAAATCTTCAACCAGGGTTAATCTGCCCCAGAGACTAAATACCCTATTTTAAAATACAAGTACTAGAGTTAGAATGGGTAGTACAAGGATTTGCTATCCCCTTCAGTCACAAATGATAGAAAATAGCTCCTTCAAGACAAATAATAAATATGTATCTCTTCCCTTGAAATCAGACTTTTTCTTACTATTGGGAAAGCCTATATAATAAAGAGGTAATATGCAAATTGACCCTCACACCCTCACACAAGATGGCCACCCTCTGTGGTCTAAGATGGCTACCACAAGATGGCTAGCAGGGGAGGGCAGCTGGGGGTGACCAGACCTGCAGGGGAGGGCAATTAGGGGTGACCAGGCTGGCAAGGGAAGGTAGTTAGGGGTGACCAGGCTAGCAAGGGAGGGCAGTTAGGGGTGGCCAGGTCAGCAAGGGAGGGCAGTTGGGGGGTGATCAGGCCTGCAGGGGAGAGCAGTTGGGGGTGACCAGGCTGGCAAGGGATGGCAGTTAGTAGTGATCAGGCCAGCAGGAGAGGGCAGTTAAGGGTGACCAGGGTTGCAGGGGAGGGCAGTTAGGGGCAATCGGGCTGGCAGGGGAGAAGTTAGTTGTCGATCAGGGCTGGCAGAGTAGTGGTTAGGGGCAATCAGGCAGGCAGGCAGGCAGGAGAGCAGTTGGGAGCCAGCAGTCCTGGATTGTGGAGGGATATCCAACTTCCTAGACAGTTGGACATCCCTCAAAGGGTCCCAGATTGGAGAGGGCAAAGGCTGTGCTGAAGGATATCATTACATTTTATGAATTTCATGCACCAAGTCTGTAGTTATATATAAAGACCATCATATTCAATGTGTTCTTTGGTCACTTGCTTTCATCCTAACTCGATTGTGTTATTAAAATTCACTTAAGTAAATATTTGATCTTATACAACTTTTATTTTTACTACATGCATAGGCCTCCAATTTGTTGATTAAGAAAATTTTCAATTTTCTTAATATTCCTTTATTTTTCACACTGATGCTAACACCTATCATTGTCATTTATTTTTATTTTTATTTTTATTTTTATTTTTATTTTTTTTACCATTTGCTGTCTCTTTGATATGAAATTGCATCTCACTGTGGTGGTTTTACTTTATATTTTCCTAATTAATAATGTCTTACTCCAGAACAAGGTGAAGGAGCAGACTTTGCATAAGATATCACTGGTGACACAGCAAAATAAATGAGAAGACAGGACATTAAGATGGCTTGAAGCTTTTTTATAAAAATAGAATTTACCATTTTTTATTCACATTTTGTTGACCTGAGCTAGTCATTTACCCAAATCTGATATCAATGGGATGGGATATTATAAACTTCCATAGGATGGGAAAGAAAAATAATTCAAGTTAAGTGGACTGAATACTCCAATCAAATTAACTAAAAAGATCTTAACATTTAATTTCTTTGTTTTCATTATAACACACTTTCTTCAGCTATATCTAGTGACTTTAAAGCTATATTCCTTTATTACAATTTTTCTAGAACATAAATCTCCAATCTCCTGCATGGGGCAGATACAGGATCATGCTGAGAGCCGATGATGACTATCTGGTTGTCAAGGCATGTAGATAGGCAAACTAGTAATACTTTTTATGTTGTTTTTAAAACTAATAGGTAAAGGTATCTAATTGCCTCCAATTGTTTTGCCTTCCTATAATTCTGCAGCCCAATATTCAGATTGTTTCTTGGTTTCTTATCTGAAGGATATCATGGGGGAAAAAATCATAATCTAGTATTTTTCATGGGATTCAAAGAAAATATATATGTGAGATGTCCCCAGAGGATGCTAATATAAAATATTCACAACTTCATATTTTGTTGAATAAGAGGTTTCAAATTCCATTAAAGTGGTGCCTCGCATAAAGAACGCCTCGCACAGCGAACGCTGCACACAACGAACTTCATTTCATGATTCATACAACGAACTTCGTTTCACACAACGAAGTCGCCCGAGCTTCCACGACTGCTTCGCCCGAACTTCCACAATCACTGCCGATGTATTGCATCCTTCCGCGCAGGCACTGCAGGCAGTCGTTAGTCACTGTGCTTAACTTAAGCACGTATCGCGGCAATCGTTCTTCATTACGAATTAAATCACGCACGTATCACGGCAGTCATCCTTTTAAGTTAAACTCAATATTTTTTTTATATCATGGCTTCTAAAAAAAGCAGGAAGGTGATTTCAGGTTTTTCATGAAACCATCGGCCAAAAAGCAGAAAATGGATGAAGATGTGCAAGATTCGGTAGAGTCTACTTAGTCTGTCTTAAAATTTAAAAAATGTGTGTTTTTTTTTTTAAAAATTATGTTTTTAGATGTATCTAAATAAAAATAATAACAAAAAATTTATCTTTTTTTATGTCATCTTAGCATATTTTATGCTACAGAACGAATTATTTTTTTTAACATGTATTGTTATGGGAAAACGCGTTTCACATAACGAACTTTTCGCATAACAAACTTGCTCCTGGAACAAATTAAGTTCGTTGTGTGAGGCACCACTGTATTACATAGATTGATAAACTCAAAGATTTTAAAAACTGTGTTCTTTTTCAACATCATGATTTCAGGGCCTAGAGACAAAAAAACAAAACAAAAACAAAAACAAAAAAACAACAACAAAAACACTACATCATAGAAAGCATTTCAGGGATATTAAAAATGGCAGAGTAAGTGGATGCTGCACGGACACGCTCTCAGGAACAAACGGGGATTACAGCTAAATACAGAAAAAATCCAATGAAATATACAATGGAAAAGTTGCAGGAGAGAACCCTCATACCTAAGAACCAAAAGTGAAGACTGCATAGAGACTGGTTTATTTTGTATATTGGAAAAAAATAAATAAATAAGTAAGTAAGTAAGTAAATAATAATATTTTGGTTATATGGAAAATAACAATATTCTCAAGCTGTTTTTTCTATTTTGAATCAGGCATATTTATGACAGCCACCAGGTAACTAAGAAAGGTGATATACAGATCTACCTCTGGACGGCGGTAGATGCATAATTTAAGATGTAGAATGTGCTCCACCTGTTTTGGCTGCGTTTTTTCCCTTGTGCTCCTTTATGGGGAGCGTGCCCTTGCCTGTCTCACTTGCCCACACAGCTCTAGGGGTACAGAAAACCCGGCTTTAGGAAGGGTGTCTAATAGGAGCACTGGAGCCATGAGATAATACTTGGCTTTTATAGCTGAAATCAGAAACAAAAGTAAAAGAAAATATAAAGAGCCTGCATTGACTATACATAGTCACCTCATAGCAGCTAATCCTAGATGCTTTCTATGGGCTCTTTGTTTCTTTCTATTTCCTCTCACACATGACAGCAAAAGGCCTTCTTTTAAGCTTTTAATGTTTAAAAAAATAGACCGAACAGCTTAATCATTAACTTGATACTGCTCTACAGACTTTATCTTTTGATTTCTTAATGCATAACACAGATTATCTTGGTTGAAGGAAACAGCCTACGAAGTGAAAGTCCCATTAAGCAGTGACTGTAGAAAGAAAACCTGGATTTCCAGTTCCTCGAGACAAGTACTTGGGTAAGTGATTTATCAACTCTGTCTTTAAAGTGCCCATATTTTGTATTAAACTAAACTCAACATTTGAAAAATTAGAGAATGAGAACTGGAAAATTCTACTATGAATGTTCTACCTTATAAAGGGAAAACATTGTTTCGGAATTATTAGGCCCAGATTTCCCATCATAAACGGATAGGATTGCTTTTCATATTTATAATTATGCTGAGGTAGTTTGCTCTACTAATTTTAAGTTTAAAAACCTAAATATAATTGTCAAAGCTATTAGTCTTCTACCTTCTCAGTGTTTCTATTTAACTTAAAGAAATATTCTTATATGATCCTCTGCTAGGATGCATTTTTAAAAATTCTGTGTATGGGGACATGAAAATCAAATCTTGCCAAAAATGGTTTTCAGATTCCCAAAGACAATGTATCCTTCAGCTGCTAGATAACTGCATTTTCTACGAATGACTGCTTTATTTCCTATTTCAAAAACATATGGAATATTTTTCACCACAATATGTACTTCATCTTTTTTATAATTAAATCACAGAACTACTACAGTAATAATGTGTCCTTGGCATTCTGAAAACTGATTAAATATATTTTATTTATTTTTTGCAGAGAGAAAGGGAGAGAGATAGAGAGTTCAAAACATCAATGAGAGAAAAACACTGATCAGCTGCCTCCTACACACCCCATACTGGGGTTGTGCCTGTAACCAAAGTATATGCCATTGACCAGAATTGAACCTGGGACCCTTCAGTCCACAGGCCGGCGCTCTATCCACTGAGCCAAACTGGTCAGGGCTCAAGTTATTTTTATATCCAAATATTTTAAATTGAAGTCCTAGTAAGTCAATATTTGGGCTAATGCTTGTGACTAGTCAATATACTTTTTTTTCAATGAATAAATGCTTCATTATTACTATTCTTTTTTAAAAAAAATATAAATATTTTTCTTGGATACATAAAAATTCAAGTCTTTGAAATTCATAAACCAATCTGCTGAAATGTTCCAAAATTATGTTTTTATTCTTAACTAGAAGTTAGGTGCATGAAATTCGTGCAAGAGTAGGCCTTCCTTTCCCTAGCTGACAACACTGGCTTCCCTCTGGCACCTGGGACTTGAACTTCCCTTGCACCCTGGCTTCATCCAGGAGGTCATCTGGAAGGATGTCCAATCTAATTAGCATGTTATACTTTTATTATTATAGATGGAATATAGATTTGTATAAAGCTGTATTGAACTTTAAAATCATTACATCCTTAAATCCAGACAATACATAGTTGAAGGCTTATACTGTCATATAATATCTAAATTTCTAACTAAACTAATAGAAGTGTTTATGAGATTAAAAATAGTTCATTTTTGGCTCATCAGTCTCATTTTGTATTTCATGATGGCTCAAAGAAGTTCGAGGATGTTCTCAACATCAGTTCCATTCTTTGTTCTCCATGGAATATTAGCAAAGTTTTGTCTTTGTTGATTGCATCTAAGAGCAATGTCTTCTTGTGTTCTGAAACTTAGTACAAATAATCATGAAAGTCTTTTATATTGATTTCAAAAGTCGATAGGAGGTAGCTTTCAAAAGTCTCTATAAATGTGCAGAGTATTATCCTGGACCTGTGGCCAGGTGGCAAAGGACTTATGACAAGGCAAATTTTAAAATGTTCATGTCTAAGATACACTAGTGGGTTGAAGCAAGTAGTTATCTATTTCTATGGAGAATTGCAGGGCAGCTTTATTAAGCTTCGCAGTGTATACCTCTCACTCCATCTCATCTCACCACATTCTAAAAATAGATTTTAAATATAATAAAAGTGGAGATAACACTAACATTTCATAGAGAAGAAAAATTCATTGTTAGGGAAAAAGTTTGGCTATAAAAGATCTAACATTGTCCAGTTACTTTTCATTAGGTTTGATTTAGCTCACCATGGATCACTTTGCTATTGGAAATGTGGGTTTAACATTAACCCTAACTCTAGTCTTCTCAATTAGCCAGAAATTAGCAATGCTTTTAGCTTACATAAATACCATTATTTCTCAAAGATACCACATTTTGTCTACTGTCCTCAAAAGAAATTGCTATAGAAATTACTTTACTCATAGAAGGTAAAGATGGGCGAAGAAGAAAGAAACCTATTTTAAAAGAGAATAATGAGCCTTGATGATCTGACTCAGTGGTTGAGCATCAACCTATGAACCAGGAAGTCATGGTTCAGTTCCTGGTCAGGGCACACGCCCAGTTTGCAGGCTTGATTCCCAGTGTGGGGAGTGCAAGAAGCAGCTGATCAATGACTGATGTTTCTCTCATCATTGATGTTTCTACTCGCTTGCTCTCTATTTTGTTTATAATATATATAATTAAATATATATATAATAATAATTAAATACCTCTGTATAAATAAATACACTTATAAATGTGTACATATATATATATGTATTTAAGTTGAGAAACAGATACATATATAGGTTTAAAAAAAAAAGCTAACAATGCTATGTCTCATAAGACAGAATCAAAACAAAAAGATTTAAGTGGTAGAAAAGTGAATCTCTGGTAATAAATATTATAATGCATAATAAATACAAAGCAGTTAAACTTTTATGCTTCAAATAGTATATTTTCAGAGTAAAAATAAAATCTCATATATATGTTTAAAAATTTGGGAGAAATAAGTAGAAGCATGCAGAGGAAGATCTTACACAATAATAATTTATTCAATAGATTAAATTTAAAAATATTTTAAAGATTTAAAAGTATATTGATATTGGCAAACCTATAGTCAATATCATATTCAATGGGCAAAAACTAAGTTTTCCTTTAAGATCAGGAATAAGACAGGGATGTCTGCTTTATTCGCTCTGATTTGACATTGTACTGGAAGTCCTAGCCACAGCAATCAGATAAGAAGAATGAAAATAATAATAAAGATAATAATAATAAAGATAATAAAAATTTGGAAGCAGCCAGAGTGCCCATCAATAGATGAATGGATAAAAAAAGCTGTGGTACATTTACACAATGGAATACTATTCAGCCATAAAAAGGAAGGAACTCTTATTTTTTGTGACTGCCTGGATTGTTCTGGAGATTATTATGCTAAGTAAAATAAACCAGCCAGAAAAATAGAAATACCATATTATTTCACTTATATGAGGAATCTAATGAACAAAATAGAAAGACACATAGATATAGAAAAAAGACTGATAGTTAATAGAGAGGAGGAGGTGTGGGAGACTTGGTGAAAAAAATGGAAGAGATTAAGCAAAAAATGAAAAAAGCTTTTAAACACAGACAACAGTACAGTGATTACCAGAGGGAAAGGGGGTTGGGGGAGCTAGAAACCTGTACACCTGAAACCTATATTTAAAAACTAATAAAGTTCAAAATCCCCACACATACACAGCTATGTTTTTACTATTGATACAAGTTTATTGTCTTATTTCTAACATATATGTCATGTAGGCGGGCAAATAAGCCAGACCTATTATAAAGCAGAGTTGCTTATACTTTTAGAAACTGATATGTCTTCCATTGCTATGGTACTTGGGAAGCTGTTTTCTGGGGGTGGGGAAATATGTTTTTATCCATTTCAAAGATTGGAAGGGAGAGTGAAAGAAAGAAAGAAACATCAATGATGACAGAGAATCATTGATTGGCTGCCACCTGCACGCCTCCTAATCGAAACTGAGCCCACTACCTGACTGGGAATTGAACCGTGGCCTCTCGTTTTACAGGTTAATGTCCAACCATTGAGCCACACTGGCTGGGCTCTTTTCTGGATTTTATTAGGCTCTTGGGATCCCAAATTAACTCTTTCACCAAAAATACCTATGTTAAAAGACCCTAGCAATAAAATACTGCCTAATATCACATGGCACCCAGTACTTCCTGACTATGTAAAATTAAGTGTCTGAGGACATCAAAGATCAGGGTATATTTAACATTAGAATTTCTGTGAGATGGAGGAGATAGGTGCAATTATCTCCTCTTCAAGGCTAAAGTTCCCAAGCACTTACAGGATTAATGACTTGCTCAAGAGTCATTAATTACAAGGCAAAGATTAGATATAAAAACCTAGACTCATTATCTCCTTTTGTGTGGGACTGAGTGAAGGACAGTGAATGGTTCTCTAGGTGAAGAGAATGCATTTTTCTTCTGCTTTGAGGCAGTGTTGAAATTAAAAAAGAGCACAAACTTTTTGGTTAGGATGGTATAAATGGAGATAATATTATAATTTTAATAATACTTAAGCTATATTGAGCAATTTTTACATGCCAGACAGTATGCTGCATCTTTATACATATTATTAAATCATTTCTTTATGAGATTATAACAATGACAATAACACTGACAATGATTCTATGAATTGGATACTAACTGATAAAATATTGGCAAGATCTAGATTTTTGCTGCTAAGTTCTATATTTTTCTAGCAGTGGTCTTTTCCAGCAACAAAGCTAAATGTTTTCACTGTTAGGTGTATTACATCACAGAATCTGAAACCTGATTTTACCATATTTTTGCAGTTGGGCAAGTTGCATAAGCTCTGGTGATTCCTAATGATAATATGAATAAAAGCTATTATTATAGATAGAAGTGGAAATTATAATGCCTATAAGTGCTCAATAAATATTAACCTTCTTCATAGCCTTTGCCTTAATATTACATTGCTTTAGCCAACTGAATTTGATTATGATATAAATTAAGATTGTTTGTAAGATGCAGTGTGTGGGAATAGAACATAGCCTCATTTCTAGGCATGCAACTGTCAAAGGCTAAGTAATTGAATCAATTATTTTAAAGATAAACTACTACAGGTCTGTGAAAAATACATAATAACATTTTATTACTTTTGAATTTTTATGAATGTGACACTTTTATAAATATCTACTTTAAGTTTTTATAAAAGTGAAGCAGTATCTTAAAGGGATCTTTCAGCAATAAAGGAGCGTTCTGTTCAACTGCTCATTCTTTTCTTGTTTCTTCTGTTGTGACTTAAAAAATACAGTTTAGGCCAAAACCGGTTTGGCTCAGTGATAGAGCGTCGGTCTGTGGACTGAAAGGTCCCAGGTTCGATTCCGGTCAGGGGCATATACATTGGTTTCGGGCACATCCCCGGTAGGGGGTGTGCAAGAGGCAGCTGGTCAATGTTCCTCTCTCATCGACGTTTCTAGCTCTCTATCTCTCTCCCTTCCTTTCTGTAAAAAAATCAATAAAATATATTAAAATACTCTGTCCTCATTTAAACAACAACAACAAAAATACAGTTTAGTAATCAAAGAATATTATTTTACTTAAAATTCACTAAAAAAAAAAAGGGTGACCACTTCGTACATTTTTCATATTACTTATTTGTTTATTTTAAAAATATTTTTATTGATTTCAGAGAGGGAGGGAGAGGTAGAAATATAAATGATGAGAGAGAATCATTGATTGGCTACCTCTTGCATGCTCCACACTGGGGATCCAGCCTGCAACTGGACAAGTGCCCTAACTAGCAATCAAACCTGGTCAATGCTCAACCACTGAGCCATACCGGCTGAACATCCCATATTTTTTAGGTAGGTAAAATATGGCTCAGAAATATGAGATAAGTTGTTCAGGGTCATACTGCTAGTTTGTGGAAGAGCTGGACTCAAAAGTCTCTGTTCAGGTTCCCAATGCTGTACTTAGAAGAACCCCACAAATATAGCATTTCTATTGTTAAAATACATTCACTTTTTACACAAAATAAGCTAATAAAATCCATTCTCTTTAGGAAAAAGAATCTGTTAAATATCAAAATACCACTTTCTAGGAGAATAATGTTGTATTGGTTTAATATTCAATTTTTCTTAGTGATTAAGGCACATCATACCTTTAGGTAGAATATTTCATTGTTTTAATTCACCAATGGACATTAAGAATCCATGAAAGATCTTTCATTAAGGGATCTTTCAGCAATAAAGGAGTGTTCTGTTCAACTGCTCATTCTTTTCTTGTTTTTTTCTGTCGTGACTTAAAAAATACAGTTTAGGCTGAAACCAGTTTTGCTCAGTGATAGAGTTTCGGTCTGTGGACTGAAAGGTCCCAGGTTCGATTCTGGTCAGGGGCATATACTTTGGTTGTGGGCACATCCCCGGTAGGGAGTGTGCAAGAA